GTCTGACCAGCTCCCGATAGAGGGGAAGTATCACCTCCTTGGATCTATTCGTCATCCATGTGCTGATGCACGATAAAGTGCCATTGGCTTTTTTGATGGCTTCGTCACACTGCCGACTCATGTTCATCTTGGAGTCCACTAGCGCTCCAAGATCCCTTTCCACTTCTGTGCCACCCAGCAGGTCATTCCTTAGGCTGTAGGTGTGCTGGACATTTTTCCTCCCTAGGTGCAGCACTTTGCATTTCTCCTTGTTGAACTGCATTCTGTTGTTTTCTGCCCACTTGTCCAACCTGTCCAGGTCTGCTTGCAGCTGTTCCCTGCCCTCCGGTGTGTCCACTTCTCCCCATAGCTTTGTGTCATCTGCAAACTTGGACAGAGTGCATTTCACTCCCTCGTCCAAGTCGCTGATGAAGACATTAAAGAGTATCGGTCCAAGGACCGAGCCCTGTGGGACCCCACTGCCCACACCCTTCCAGGTCGAAGCCGACCCATCCACCACGACTCTCTGGGTGCGACCCTCCAGCCAATTCGCCACTCACCGGACTGTGTAGTCATCCAAGTCACAGCCTCTTAACTTGTTCACCAGTATGGGGTGGGATACCGTATCGAAGGCCTTCCTGAAGTCTAAATATACGACATCCACCCCTCCTCCTGTGTCTAGGCATTTTGTAACCTGGTCATAAAAAGAGACTAGATTGGTCCGGCATGATCTGCCTGCCACGAACCCGTGCTGGTTTCCCCTCAGCATAATTTGTCCTGCCGGGCTCTCGCATATGTGAGCCTTGATAATTTGGATGCCATCGACAAGGCATGGGACACGATAAGGAAAGGTCAGAGTCATGTAAAACTCCCTGGGCATTGGGGTAGTAAAATGGGCAGCCTCCCACATTTTCCACCAATTAATTATGACAGAAAGTTGTGGCAGGAAAGGTTTGGGCAGACTGCCCAGAAACAGGTGTGTAGGCCAAGGCTGAGACCTGGCCCTGACAAGACACCCTGTTATAAACACCTTTAGAAAAAGCAGGAACCTGTTCTAGGTTATTTTTGGTGCCTATTTAACTCTTAGGAGTTAAAAATTCCCAGGAAGGATCTAGATTGTCAGTGTTCTAATGCCAGCCCTCTTAAGAGTGATATTTGTGAGTAACTTGCCCAGGGTGCAAGCACTGGGTTTTTTTGCATATGCACCGTGGATCAGGAATAGAAAATGAGTTTCAAATAAATATAACGGATGGAGACAGAACATACAAAAAGTGGTATAAATTATATAAAGAAAAAACCCAAAGCTAAAATATGCATTTTTTTCTCTTCAGTGGTTAGGTGGCTAGGGCACATGACTTATAAGGAAAGGCTGAGGGAACTGGGCTCATTTAGTCTGTAGAAGAGAAGACTGAGAGGGTATTTGATAGCAGCTTTCAACTACCTGAAGGGCGGTTCCAAAGAGGATGGAGCTAAACTGTTCTCAGTGGTAGAAGATAACAGATAAAGGAACAATTATTTCAAGTTGCAGCAAGGGAAGTTTAGGTTAGATATTAGGAAAAAGTTTCTCATGAAGAGAGTAGTAAAGCACAGGAACAGGTTACACAGAGAGGTTCTTAAGAGGTTTTTAAGACCTGGCTAGACAAAGCCTTGGCTGGGATGACCTAGTTGGTCCTGTTTTCAACAGTGTGGTTAACTAGATGACCTGCTTTGAGCAGGGCATTTGACTAAATGACCTCCTGAGGTCCCTTCCAACTATAATTTTCGATGATTCTATGATTTTCCTAATACAGGGAAAGATACTAGAAATGAGAAGATGGAAACACAGTACTGGGTGGGGACTCATAGGAACAAAGGACTAGAAGCAGAAAGAAACATCATGTGACTTGGATGACTACACAGTCCGGTGGGTGGCGAATTGGCTAGAGGGTCGCACCCAGAGAGTCGTGGTGGATGGGTCGGTTTCGACCTGGAAGGGTGTGGGCAGTGGGGTCCCGCAGGGCTCAGTCGTTGGACTGATACTCTTTAATGTCTTCATCAGCGACTTGGA